ATAAGAACAAGACACAACAAAACACTGAAATCTGTTGAATGAGGGGAAAGGGTAAGAAAGAGTAGTGGATGGGGGTTAGAATGACTTAAGCACAATATATTTGCAGGTAAAATACCAAGGAAAATTCCCACTGAATACTGTCTTTAAAAATATTAGAATATGCTATTCCCAGCATATTCAACTGTGACTTAAACCTGTCTCCATGTCTGCATGCTTGTGTATTATGAGTTTTGTAAGTCAATTGAAACTAATGCCTACATTATATTTGTGCTACATACTATACACTAAATAATAAAATTTTTCTTCTGATCCAAGAATATCATGGAAACCAGTTTCCATTAAATTTTGGTAGGTTACGTTGTTAGATTGCGAGTTATATGATTCTCATACTCTATAGTTCCTGAGGATAGTAAATACAGAGATTTTTAAAAACCCATTTCATGTCTTTTTATATTCATTTTAATAAGCTATATTTCATTTGGGTTTCCATTTTTAACATGTCTGGATGCAAATTGGGTTAAAATTCATACTCATCACTGTTCTTTGGAGTAGCAATTGGTGCAATTCAAAACCAAATAAATTACACACATACGCACATACACATGAGTTAGAGTACATTGGCACCCTCTTAAGAATTTAAATTAAGATAAGAGATGGTCCCCTATCCTCCAAGTCAGAATGGAATTAATATGCAGGCTGGAGAAGGGACATGAAAGATCAAATCTATTTTAAAAACAAAAAAATGGAAAATATTGGAAAAAATAATAATAAGTAAAAGGAGCAGCATATTGGAATCCAAAGTTGCTTTTAGCAAAAGAGCCAAGGGCGCTTATAGGGAAATTAGCTCAGAAGGTACATTAAAGCAAAATAATTGTCATTAAATTACCATTTTCATTCATCCATGCAGGTGAACCACTCCCTATGTTTCACTTTCACTGACTTTAATAAAGGCCACATAGCTCATACAATTTTCTTTCTAAGTTCATAACTTTTGAAATTCCTGTAGGGAGGACTGTTGATACAAGGCAAAAACGCATTTTAGACATACGGCTAAAGTTAAGACAGAGGAGACTCTAACAGTATATATCTGTAGGAATTAATGAAGATTTTCTGGAAATACTTCAGACATACAAGCTGTGTAATTGGTGGTAAAGCCCAGTTCTTAAAGACATGAACTTGACATTGTGATGTGTGGAAAAAGTATATATACCAAATCTCTTTAGAATATACAGAGGTAAATAGGATATGAGGTCAATATGATCAAAATACATTAATACATATATGAAAATGTCATAGTGAAACCAACTCAATTATATAATTAATATACATCAATAAAAAGAATATATAGAGATAATATTCATATAAAATAATCCTAGTGGGAACACTAGTAGTCTCACAGAACCAGGTCAGAGAGCTAAGAAAATCTTCTTTCACAATGTACACACATGTGAATGGATGAATAATAATTTTTTAAAATGTCTTGTTTTCATATGCATTAAAAACCTTTTAGGTTGATATTCTAAAGCCAGTGAGGATTCATTTTATGTACAACACCTCCATTTGACAAGCACATCTTTTTTAAAAAAGTTTTTCCTTTATTGTTGTGCTGTGTGGGGGTACATTGTGGAATTTACAAATGTTTTTATAATATGTCAACTACATCATATTTGAATTCACCCCCTCCACCACTCCCCTTTATCCTTCCCTCCATGATTCATAGAGTAGTTACCAGGTATCATTATTTGACAAGCACATTTTTGAGAACCTTCTCTCCTTGTGAAGTCTTATGCCAATTTGGATTGTGAGAATGGACAGCTCCATGTGTTATGTTTTCCAGCAGCAATTCACCTGTTAGTTGTTTTAAACCTAAGTCTATAGCCCAAGGGTATGTTCTAGGTGCATGCTGCCTTATCTTGACAGAGACTGAAAATGGTCAAATGGGGGGCAGTAAGTTGTTTCCAATGCACAATACTCTATTTAGGGTATGGGCCTCCTTTTTGATGAAGGGGCCAAAAGCAAAAGTGTTACTCTATACCACTGGAATGAATGAGTATTTCACATCTGTCCACATAATCCCCATATACCTGATTGATTAAAGAGGACTCTGAATTTTTTCATATTTCATCAGTCTTCTCTATTGGAAGAGAGATGATTATATCCTAGACAGTGTTAGTAAGTATTAGATTTCTGATTCTCAAGTAAATGGATGGAACTGGAGAACATCATTCTGGGCAAGGTTAGCCAGATTCAGAAGACCAAAAATCATATGTTGTCCCTCATATGCAGGCTTTAGATCTAGGGCAAACGCAGCAATGTTGTTGGACTTGGGTCCCATGCTAAGCGGAGAGCATATACAGGAAGTATGGGGATAGGTAGGAAACCCAAAACTTGAAAGTGTTTGGTGTCCCCCCTGCAGAGGAGCCAATACAGTAACCTTAAAGTGACAGAGGTCAATATGGGAAGGTGATCGGGAACTAGTGAAAAGGTCAAGTAGTGATGAATCAATTCGGGTTGTGATACACTTGTGCAAGGAAGCAATGCTAGGAATCTCTCAGTATAGCTATCCTTATCTCAACTAGCAAAAATGCTTTGTCTTTCTTATTATTTTTTATGTTTTCTCTTTGACAAAATTGGAGAAAAGGGCAGAATGGGTTCTGCCTGGAAGCAAGGGGGTATGGGGGGAGAAAGAGGGGGCAGGGGGGAGAAATGGCTCAAACAATGTATGCAAGTATGAATAAATTTTTAAAAAATTTTTAAAAGACGATAAAATTTTTTTAAAGTATTAGATTTCTGGCTTTTCAAGGAGAACATCATCTATATAGTGAAAATCTGATGAGAGGGTAGATATAACTGTGGTGTATACTCACAAATCTTCTGTTGACAAATATTAGAAAAGTTTATTTCACTAACACTTTACTACATGAACCACATGCTGAAGAATGTGGATAAACAGGGAATCACATTCAAATGTTGTAAAAATTAATTCTATCACATTGGAAAATAATGGAAATATTTACTAAAGGTGAACAAACATAACCTTCTGATTTATGGAATCCAATAGCAGAAATTCACAAATTTCTACAAAATTCATAAACAGAAATTCTTAAAATTTATCAATAGAAATTCATGTTTTTACTGAAATTTCTTTCTAAAATTATTCTGAGAACTACATTATAAAATTAAACTAAGAGCTGCAGGGCATAAATATTCACAAGTAAAGAGGTATTACATATAATTATTAAAATTAAACCTGATGTGGTGATACACACCCATGATCACAGCACCAAGGAGGCAGAGGACGGAGAATTATAAGTTTGAGGATGGCCTAGGCTACATATCAAGACCCTGTCTCAAAAAACAAATTAAAACAAGGAGTTTAAGATGTAAACAATAATAAAGTAGTGAAGAAATACAGTACAATGGTCAATCTGATCCCAAATATACCCATTATTATAGTGAACATAAATAGACTCAGTGTTCTTATGGAGGTCCAATATTGTTTGACTCTTTTACTTAGGATTTATCAAGTGATATAGTTAAAATATTATCATTAATGAAAAATAATGAAATGTATAACTCATGACATTTTAGCCTATTAAAACATATCATTATAAATAACAGATAAAACAGACTTTAAATTTAAACAAGTTGGTAATTATTAGTGTTATCATCATTATATTTAATAAGATACAATTTTCCAATGCTACTACATGACGGATAATGAACGCAATCTGACTGTTATATACATGTATTTGTGTGTGTTGCATCCAACAAGCATAAGTATTTTCAAATGTTTTCTGAACCAGAAACTGTTATTACTATTCAGTATTTCTATATATTTAGTCACAGTGTGTGTGTATGTGAGATTGTGTCTTTGTATGTACATCTAGTATAGTTTTTCTATTTAGTATTTCTATATATTTAGCCATAGTGTATGTGTGTGTGTGTTTATACACATATCTAGTATAACAAATGGATTCTTTGACTTTCCAATTATGGACTGTTTAATACTTTAAAACAACTTCACAATGTAAATACAGATAGCAATATTAAAATATTTCCTATAATAAGGAAACCGTTCTTATTCTTGCAGAAATCCACCTACACCACAAATTCTTATGAACAAATGGGTTGCATAACTCCTCCCCTCCAAATGGCTATTCCTCTTCTGCTTCAATGCAGTGAAGGCTCTGCTTCACTCCTCACTTGAGAAACTCAAAAACCATGTTCCAAATCTCTCTCTTTCCAACATGATATACAGGAAAACCTTCTTTCTGCAGGTGCCAAGACCAGACCATCTTATCATAGACATCATGTATTTTTAAAATCTCAGCATATCTTTTTAGAAAAAACTTGCTGATGTTTTAAAAATTCAGCCAAGATATTGCTGTGCTCTTCTTTCCCACACTTCAGTTTGTTATAACCATTGCTATATGAAGATGTTCTGAATGTATTTTACCTCCCTCTATGGAATCATGTTTTAAATGGCTACTATTTTTGTAAGGAGGTAAAACACTTTATTATTTGGATACAAATGCAACTACCATCTGTTCCAGATTCACTGCATACTGCTTCATTATCCCATAAGAATATTAAATTCTTCAGCTTCTTGATTGACCACCCACATGCCATTCCTTTCTCATGGGCATAGTTGAGATATTCTATATTTAGTTTAGTATATTTAGTTCATGTTCTGGGTAAACTTGCTATGTTTGATTGAAAGTTACACACTCAAGGACGGTCCTTTGATCTCCAGAGCTTTTGAGGACATACTGCTTTATTATTTCATAAATTCTCAATTACTCAAACAGAAACATTAATGCCATATATAAAAATTCACATCATACCTGAATAATTTAGAGCATTATTTTGTGATTATTTGTCAAAAGTTCAGGCTATCTTATTCACTGTTCTTTTCTAATATGTTTGTTTCATAATTGTGCTTATAAATCTGTGGAGATGAGTGAATAAACACCTAAACATTGTGCCACAAATATGCTTTATGTATTTCTTGCAAAGTCAGGTGGTTTTGTATTCCTTATTCGGACAAAGACCCTGGACACACTGAAGCAATGGCTCATGAACACAAAGGGGTAGAATGTTGGAAAACACACAGAGATGGGGGCAGAAATTTTCACCAGCAACCAACTTGGTTTATGAGAATGAGAAATACAGACTTGGATGATGGCAGAGATGAAGTAAAATGACACGAAGATGTTCACAAGGATTAGGATTCTTTGGGTAGCTCTGGACTCAGGAAAAGAACGAGGAAAGATGTTGGTCTTATGAATGTGCTGAACCTTCTGCCTGTGCCTGTACAGGATGAATACCATGAAACTGCTGGCCCAGATCATGACCCCTAAACTTGAAATATCAGGGAACAGTAATAATACCGCATACAATGATACTGTGATTATATCAGTTTGTTCTGCAGAACAGAATCCCAAGTCCTTTCTCATTGTGGCATTTCTGTTATCCCATTTGCCTGTCACATATATAGGGCTAGTAATATTTAGCAACATTTGCAGGACCCAACATAAGAAAATACAGAAGCCAATATACTTGGGAGCCTTCACTTTAAGTTCTGCCCACCTGGAGTTTCTTGGACTGATCTTGATGGCCTGGAAGACACTCAAGAGGCAGGTGCTGCTGATGGACACACCCCTGCCCACTCTGTGAAGATAGAAAACAAGTTTGCACCCAATGTCACTTAGGAAAAATTTCAACCCAAAAGCTTCCATTGTCTGGGGAATTCCTCTAGAGAGAAGGGTTAAAGAATTGGCTACCATCAAGTGACTGATAATCAAATCTGTCAGTTTTAACCTGTGCCCAGTGAAGTAAAGGAAGAGATAATAGTAAAGAAGAGAGAAATTTCCAAGGATTCCAAGTACAATCTGTGACAAGAGGACTATTCCTATTGATAGCTCCCTGAAAGCCATTCTGCCAGTTTGCAGTGGCTAATTTTGTCTTCAGGGCCAGAGAATCCTGTATAATGATATGAAGCAGAGACCAGATTGATCATGTAAATTGAAATTCAGCATTTTCTACTTCCTGTTAGTTCTGTAGAAATACTTACAGTTTTTCATTTATTAGTATGGTTTGAAAAGTTCAATGAATTACCTTAAAAGGCCTTTACAATGCAAGGACAATTGCTATGAGAGCTGTACATGTGCTAATTTACTCAGAAAGCAAACACTGTTACATTCATTGTGCAGACTTGAACATTGTCATGGAGAAGTGAAGCATTTATTAAAATTTACAGCCTATTGAGCGGCAAAAAGGGGAATTAACCTACCTAGACTGGTTGTGAAGACAACTTCTTTCCAGTTGCTAATTACTAAAACCAATTAAGTTTGTAATTTGTAATTATCCCCTCCAAGGACGCTACTGAAGTGTGTAGAGAGGCTCTTTCCCATGACTGTGGGAAACAACCAGCATGCTTGTAAGCTGCACACTTTGAATAATTCTGCTATATTTTTTTATTTTGTTTTCATGTCTTACAATTTTATTTTACATTGTTGATGATATTTTAAATTTTTTGTTGTAACAAGTTTCAATTCATAATGATTTATTCTATAGGCCAATAACAACCATAAATGAAGATTTAGAGTCATTAGTAAAACACAGATGCTCTCAGTGATTGCAATATGACATGCAGGAACCTGAGCCACAGTCACATTGGGCTGAATGGTTGCCGGAAGTGATCAATAGTAGAATGACAGCAGCAAAATCTGTTTGTTTTTATGCTAGAAAAAAAATATAATATCACCTAGTATAGAAACCATTCAACAATTTCATATTATTCCCTAAATCATGGTACATGAAATACAAAACAGAATAAGATAGTGTAGTGTTATAAGTAAGCTATTACTAATTTTAGATTGCATAGTTTTGCACCTGTAAATACCTTACTTAAAATTTTCACCAATGAACTGATACTTATGAAAGACATTAAGACCTGACATAAGCAAAATAAAAATGTAAGGGCTATAATTTTATGCATTTTAGAAACTCAAATCACAAATTTTATAAAAACACCAATAACTCTCAGGGAAGAAGTTGTTAATTCACATTTGGAGTCATTTGTGAGTGATCTAGAACACCTAAACCATCCATTTCTCTTTACTAGTTCATCTCACACTTCATAAACTATCACTAGTTCTTATGTGACTTTTACATTGGATCAGTTTTAAACCTCAAAGAATGTCAATTTTCATGTGATCACAAATATAGATTTTTGATACACTTGCTTCCCTTATTTTCTTTGCCAGACTGGAATAACAGTACTCACCTAACTCCACACTGCTCTTTCCATGTGAGGCCTGCAGGATGGTCATCCACAGTCAAGGTGTGTATGCACACCTTCACTCTGAGAAAAAGCTTTGTGACTATGACCTCACCTCCCCATAGAAACTCAATTATGTCATCTTCAGTGGCAATGACAATGCAGGCTTTGGGAGCTGAGAACACTGCTGAAAACTATTTTCCAGTTGCTAATTATAAAAAGAATTAAGTATATGCTTACCACCTCTAAGGACACCACTGACACCACTGACATGTTCACAAAGGACCTTTAATTTCCGTAATTGTGGAAGAAGTCTCAGATGGAGGAGAGCAGTAAATACTGAGGTCTGACACATGAGACGGAGTGAAGTGAATAGAGAATCTGTAGTGGAGAGAAACCATAAAAATGTAAAAAATGATCTAGCCCTCAATCTTTACTCAAGCCTCAATCAACATCAGAGATTTCATAAGATAGACCCTAAAAATGAAAGGAATGTGGCAAATAATTTAAGTTCACCTTTTTCCTTTGCAACCATCAATAATCCATAATAGTCAGAAACTTTAAAAATATTAGGAATATCATAAATTATTTACCAGATGGTCAAGTCTTAGAAAATGTCACAGAATTCATAGTGAAAATTAAACAAAGTGCATTTATTGGGACATATTAGAAAAAATCATCAGGGAGTCACCCAACAAATTACAAGAATGTGATGAAGGCTTTTGACTCCATACTCAACATTAGAGAAGTAGTAAGAAGCAATCTCTATGCATGAAATGAAGGTGAATTGTGTTTTATCCTTCAAAATCCCCAGAGAGTAAAGGAAAAGTAATAATGTAAACATGCAATAAGTATAGACAGATATTTAATCAAACATTGAATCCCAGTAACAGTGGAGAATTCAACCTACAAGGACAATACAAACAATTTCAAACCTCATGAAAACCACAGTATAGGGAACAATCCACAGTTAATGCAAATCTATAACTTGTTTCTAGGTTTCAGGATATTATGTGCTATCAGTACATTTGTGTTGCTATTAGTTGAGATTTTGCAAGGCAAATGTAGATTAATTTCATGCTCCAATCAGGTCAACATATTTCTGATTTCTGAGGGCTTATATGAAAACTTGTTGCTGCCATAGCACTATCCAATGAATAGTGGAAAATGTAAAATCCATTGTGACACAAAAGGTAAATGGGCTGTGTGCTTTTGTCGTCATCAAGATGGAAGTAAACCTGAGGTAGGTGTCAAAGAAATTGTTCTACATTAAATAAGAAAGGACAGAATATTTGAAATGAACCATAATACCAATTACTCCAGAGGAGAAAGCTGGCCAATCATTTACAGTACAGATGAATTTTCATAGTAGGAATAGTTTGCAGTCTTTGATAACATTTGTAGTGAGAAAAATAACTAATTCTTTACAGACATTAAGAAAAATGAATACTCCTCTTAGAAAGATCGCAAATTAATCCTAATCAGTATTAACTAATGTATGAGCATTTGTGTTTAAAATGGGTAATGTTAAACTCTAAGGTCATTATACCAGAAGAAACATGATACATCTTGAGTGTTATCTGTATTTTGACAAGGCAGTATGCAGGGAATTTTTTTAATTCTTTATCTAGTCTCTGTGTAAGCATAATTTGCTTTAATTAATAAAACTGAAAGGCTTTTTATGTTTTAAATTGAATTGAGTTGAAATTACTGAATTATTACCCACCAACATAAAGCACTCCACCCTTTTTTCCAGACTATGGGAATCAAGGATTAAACCAATTTGTCTGTGTGTGTGTGTGTGTGTGTGTGTGTGTGTGAGAGAGAGAGACAGAGAGAGAGAGAGAGAGAGAGAGAGAGAGAGACAGAGAGAGAGAGAAAGAGAGAGAGAGTTTCTATTCCAAAATGACAAAGACATAGTAAACAAAAAAATAAATTAAAGATTTGGTGTGGTAGTCAGGTTTCTAAAACTGTGGAAACACAGCTGAAAATACCAACCTAATGTAGGAAAGATTTATTTTAGCTCATGGTTTCACATGTTTCAGTCCATAATGACTCGGCTCCAATTCTGTGTGCCTCTGGTGAGGCAGAATATCATCCTTCCAGGAGCTTATGGTAGAGGATGCTCACAATGTAGCAGCCAAGAAGCATGGGGTAAAAGAAGGGCAAAGTGTATCCTTCAAAGTCACACCCTCAGTGACCTAATCACCAAATGGGACCTTCCACAGAATATCCTATGAAGCTATGAACTCTACATTGGAGACACTGCTCAATGATCTCACCCAGGAACACTGTTGCTCTCTGGGTTAAGCAATCAACACATGATCCTCTGGGGGACACATCATAACCAAATCAAAATAGATTGTGGGGTTTTTTAAGGAAAGATAGCCATCACCAATTATCAGGGCAACTGTAATTTGTCTACTCTACATGGAACACAATTGTCAAAAATCTCATGTCCTGGGTTTAGAACCTATGCTTAAAATCCTGTCTCTTTTATTGCATATTATCAACATAGAAACTAATATATGAGTTCTACTCTAAATATTATGCACATGAAAATCCTATTAAAGAATATTTTCATGAAATTTAGTTGTTCTCATGGATTAATTAAAAGTTATCAACAAATTCTAATTAATAATCAGTAAACATTCATTGGCAAATAAATTGCATTTTCTCTCCTGTTATGTGAAAAAGAAAATCACTTCAGTCATTTTTCTAATTGTTCCTTTCATTTTTAAGGGATTTCATGAAATTCATTGATTTTCACAGGGGTGACATTTTATTGTCAAAAACTGGGAACTATTTGATATGACTCCTCAGTCAAACACTAGCTCCCTGAATTCAGGAAATTTAATTTTGATAGTTGCATTTCCTAATTATATAGTTTCTCACACTCCAATTTCATCCCTATCTACATATGCATCACAGCCATTTTCCTTTTCTTCTATTAGTGATTCTCAGTAGTAAAATGAACTCTGAGGGTGAGGTCCCAGAAGATGTGGAGCTCTTGTCTATTTCTTGTTTGCCCACTTTTTCCCAGAGATGGCTGCATATAACCAGTAGACAGGTAACATCATCTCAGTACCAATGCTAAAGGCCCATTCTTTCCCTATAGTACCCTCACCATTGTCTTTGATCTTTCTCTCTCTCAGTCTTGCAAAATGGCATTAGAGCTACTGGGAATTCCTTGACTTCAGAATTTTCTTATCTTATTTGTGCCGAATGGCTGTCAAGAAAAGGGTTGGCCTCAGCATTTCATAGGGTGCATTCCACTTCTCTGATTGTATCCAAAGGTTCTACAGTTCTTTCACTTAACCTGTGGGTGCAAGATCATGTGTTCACTAGTGAGTAGCAATATCAGAAATGTTTCTGATAATGCAAGGACAGACTTTTGTAGTTGGATGTTAGTTTGGGGAGGAGCCCTAGGCCCATGGCTTATTATCAGGAAATTCAAAATAATATGGCCCTTTCCAAATACCCCTCATAGAGGAATCCAAAGAGGAAGAAATTGTGTTACAATAAACAACACACTGTGTACTAAAAAGACACCAGGGATGGGTGCCTTGGATCATACCTGTAATCCTAGCTACTTGGGAGGCTGAGCTCAAGAGGATTGCAGTTCAAGTCCAGCCTGGCCAAATAGTTCATGAG